CGCCATCAAGCTGGGTGATCAAAATTGGTAGCTTCAGGTGATATAAGAGCCAGACTAATAACTGACTTGCAAGAGATTAAAAAAATATATGGCGGGCATTAAGCAAACCAGGATACATTGTTCCTTTAAGCAAACCAGGATAAATTGTTCCTTTAAGCAAACCAGGATAAATTGTTCCTTTAAGCAAACCAGGATAAATTGTTCCTTTAAGCAAACCAGGATAAATTGTTCCTTTAAGCAAACCGGGATAAATTCTTCCTTTAAGCAAACTGGGATAGATTCTTCCTTTAAGCAGATCAGGCTAAATTGTTCCTTTAAGCCAGGAGTCCCCAAACTTGGCAACTTTAAGACAACAAGTCTTAAAGTTGCCAAGTTTGGAGACCTCTGCTTTAAGCAAACCAGGATAAATTCTTCCTTTAAACAAACCAGGATAAGTTCTTCCTTTGCTTCTTCCTGATCATGGCAAGAAGACACCTGGCTAGCTTTGCCAAAACCCAGCATGATAATTTCAGGCAGGAGACAAGGAGAAAAAAAGAAATAACTCCGCGAAGAAGAGAACAGGATGGGCTGAATCAGCTGGGTGGGGGAAAAAAAACGTAGATAAAACCGAGCAAGAATCAAACTGGATCTGGAAACATTTTCTGGAAGCAGGAAGTGGATGTTTAACATGCAGCTTGGAAATCCTGGATGCTGAAGGTCGTCAGGTGTTGAGGTAGCCAGCATCCCTAGCTTGTTGGTGCCCCACCTGCCAGCTGCTTCCCCAACCTGGGTTAACATCAGCCAGCATACATCTGGAAAGTAGAGTCCGCTGCTAGAAGGGTGTTGGCTGCATCAGCCGCTCTTCCTTAGGAATGTCCCATTGTGCTGGTGATTGGGGGGGGGGGGGGGGGGGAGAGAAAAGTCACCATTTTGAGTACTTCCTGCATGCGGCGTCTCGGTAGAAGCGGAAGATGGTTTCGGCCGCTCGCTGCGCGGTGGCAATGCATTGCTGAAGCTGCAGGGATCAAGAGAAGGGGGAGATGGTTAAAAGCTGGAAAGAAGGAAGGAAAAGTCCCAAAAAGATTTCGGGAAGGGGGGGGGGGCAGCATAGGCCTTGCTCTCTGCCCCTCCCTGATAGGACCCCCCACCCCAGGTCTAAAGTACGCCCATGGCACAGTCTTCGTTTAAAGGGGTAGTCCTTGCCCTACAACCTTTCATTTATCGACAATCTGTTCTGACCTCGGCTTCGCCAAAAAGCACTAAGCAGACTCTTTGTCCCGGCAAAACCCCTTTTATTCAACAAAGGTGAATTTCTTGCATTCACACTCAGCCAAAGGCCCGGCAAACAGTCTTTCAAGGGTGTAATGAGGAGCACGGATCTTAACTATCTGGGAGGGCTACCGAGTAAATATTTCCAAACTCAGTGCTGACAAGGAAGGACTCGGCATAGGAGTCTCTGAGATGCACAGACAGATCTTCACGCTGCTGCAACGAACGAATTGTTTCCTGCCAAAAGCCCCCTCTGATGCTAAAGCGTTCTACTCCCCCTCCCCACCTGGAAAGAAATCTCTTCCAAATGCAAAACACAAGCGGCGGCGAAGAGTTTCAGTTTCACAGCACCGAGCAGCTTTTAGTACAGAACAGTTGAGTTAAGCCACACCCAGGCTCCTTGCTGTCTCCTTCTTGCTCACACAGCAAATACTCTTTCAGTTTCGAAACAGCCCTCAACTCTCTCACACACTGACAGGATGCCAGCCAGATGAATACCGGTGGATGCTGGTAGGCAGAGGCAGAATTTCCTCCCCACACCCTCGAAAACTAAGCCCGACCACATAGTTTCGTAGCGAAGCACAGGTATCGAGCTGGTCATGTCATGCCCCTGGTGGAGACTGACTCTGAGGGAGAGGAGGAACAGCCGACAGGGGAGTGGAAGTATGGCTCCGGAGGTTGTGGAGGATGCTGGGGAAAGGCAGAGGTGGGCTGGGCAGTCAGAGGAGGACCCAGGCCCATCCCTTCTCCATCCTAGGGCATGCAGGGAGGAAAGGATAAGGGAGAGACGTGAATGGCATGGTCTTAGGGGTAGGAAAGGGCCTTGATCCTCTTCATGGGCTGCAGCTGTGACAACTGGATAAGAGGACGGACATGCGTACTGGCAAGTGCTGGAAACAAAGCATGGAAATATCTCTAGTTTATGGTTCCTCTCTGAGTTTGGCGTCCTTCCCAGTGTGTGTTATCTGTGGATGTCCTCCAGCCCTTATCTTGCCTGGTTTGTGTTGCTTTTTTCCTTCTTCTTGTAACTGTTTGTGTGGGAGTTTTTTTTTGTCGTCCATCAAGAACATTCGGAGCTCGGAAGCAAAGTGAAGGAATAAAAGGGGCTTCGCCTGTTTTCTGTGACTGTGTTTGTTTTGTATCCCACCCTGGGTCATCCCAGTCAGGTGATCAGAAGGGACAGTGGGAGATTGGTACTTTCACACTTGCAACGTTCCATTAATGCAGACTGACCATAAAGGACAATTAGCTCATCTTTTCCAAGTTTTCTTATCTGGTCTACTCGCAAGGCTGCGTTTTAATTAGTCAATTTATATGCAAAGGAAGCCATCCATTCTCCCAAGCACTACCCCGTGTACGCAGGGAACTAGCAACCTGGTTCTCCGTGCCGCCCACCCCCCATCCTCCTCCTCCTCTTCCTCCATGTCAACTGAGCCGTTCGCCGTGGAGCTGTCAAAATCTGTCTGGCTCACTTAAGTCTTTTCAGCTCAATAAACAGCGGCACGCGGCATGGCTGGAGTGCGTGAGCTCACAGCTGGCGGGAAGGCAGACAAGCAGCTACAAATAAGGAATCAGTTCAGCCCTCCTGGACAATTCAACGGGCCATCAATCTTCTCGGGTGCACGCCGAACAGGTGAGGGGATGATGATGCAGGAACTATCGCCGGGAAATGGCGAACTCTCCTCCCGCTATCGGTCCTGCTCGGGCTTGGCCAAACAGAAATAATAATAAAAATCTATGGAAGAAAACATCTTCCTGGGCGCAGAAATTGTTTCTTTCAACCCCATCCTTTTTTTTTCTCGTCGCGTCTGACGGTGGGTTTTAACATCTCCGAAGGCAGGTTGGAAACTATCCACGAAGTAACGTGAATTTCCAGAAAGACGGCACTGCGCAAAACCAGAAGGGAAAGACAGTCTGCGTGTTTCCATGGGCTACTTTTTCTGGTGTTACTGGATGTTACTGGACCAAATCTGTCAAGAAGGAATGAGTTGCCAACAGAAGGGGACGTTTGTAGTTCAGCGTTTAAATTCTTCAGATGTGCTTTTCAGACATTTCGTGACCCAAACTAGGTAACATCCTCAGTGCTAGAAGGGAGTAGGGATTTACTCTCTGTTTATAAACCCCACTTCCTCCTAGCACTGATGATGATGTTACCCAGTTGGGTCATGAAATATCTGCAAGAAAACAATCAAGTTCAGAGAACATTAAAAACCTCACAATTCTCCTCCTTTTCCCCCCCCTCCTGCTCCACTTTGCAAACTCCAACTCCCTTCTGGTCCTGATGATGTTACCTAGTTTGGTCATGAAATGTCTGCAAGAAAATAACCAAATTCACAGAACGCCAAGAACCTCACAATCCTCCTTCCTTCCTTCCTTCCTCCCTCCCTATCCACAAACCCCACTCCCTTCTAACACTGATGATGTTACCTAGATTGGTTGAGAAAAGTCTGCAAGAAAACAAGCTCACAGAGACCCAAGATCATATCTTTGCCTTGGGAACACAAGAGGGCATTTTGACACCTGAGAACGGCCAGAGTTTGTAGAACCAGAGTCACCAGAAAACAGGGAGACCGCAACTGCAGCTTCCAAACTGCAGTGGAGTCAATTCACACCATACACTTAACCCATACAAAAGCAAGCCGACTTGGTGAGACCAGTCAAAGGGGGGGGGGGGGGGGGAGAGACAAGCTGGATTTGCTTAATGACCGTATGATCCTCTTAGCAACCATATTATTCGGTTAACGATCCGGTTTAAAAGAAAAAAGACCATGAAATCGGATGCGACCCCACTGCTTAGCAAATGGACGGTCCATGTGATGACCCGGAGTGTAACACAAACGTAACAAAATCCAAAACGTAAATAAATGTCCTTTAATGCCTCCCACTTGGCCCCACTGTTCAATAATTGTCAGTTGGAGATAAAATGTATTCAAAAACAGTCTTCAAAGGAAAGCAATACAGTCCGAACTTAACGAGCAGATAGAGATGAAATAAAAAAACTAAAACAAACTACAATAATGGAATTTCCACAACGGACCAGGATAAGTAATTACCAACTTCAAGGAGATAACAAGGCATAGTCTGTTGGAAGGACGCCAACCAAGATAACTAAAACATGCTTTGCTTCTGGCAACGCTGTGTTGTAATCGCCCCTCTTATATACTCATCTCCACAGCTGCAACCAATGACGGGGATCATGGCCGCTTCCTCTCTCGCAAGCCAAGTTGTTTCCTTCTCTGTTCCTCCCTGCGTGTCCTAGGATGGAGAGGGGGATGGGCCTGGTTCTTCCTCCGACTGCCCAGCCGACCTCTGCCCTTCCCCAGCCTCCTCCACAACCTCCGGAGCCACACCTCCACTCCCTGTCGGCTGTTCCTCCTCTCCCTCAGAGTCCAACTCTACCAAGGGCATGATAGTCCATTCCCAATGGTGGCTCTTAAGTCAAGGACCCCCTACCCCTATTTTCCCCCCCACCCTAGAGTCATGTTTTGGGCAGTGACTTCTCTCCAAGCCAGGGTTTGATAAAAGCACCACGCTGCACCCACCACCGCCCAACATGGGTTTGCGGAGCTCACACACAACACACACCTACAAACACACACGGTTCAGCTTCGTCTGTCTTAAATCCGGCACAGTGGAACTGTTTGGGAGCAACAACAGTGCACATATTTTGTGCCTCCGGATAATGGGCTGTTGCAGAAGCCAAATTAAAATGTGCTGTGAAAAGCAATCCACCGTGTCCAGCAAACCCACCACACACACACACACACACACACACACACACACACATGGCCCAAGGGCTTTTGCGTGGTTCTCTGCAACACCAGGCAGCCATTGAAGTGAAACCCATTTTAAACGGCGTGGTGATTTGCCGAGTAACAAAGAACTATATCTGGACGCGGTAGCTCGACCGTGGAAAATTAGGCAAAGAAAATTACTCACTTTCAAAAAAAACAACCCACGCTCTCTCCCTCCCCAGCCAAGCTTTTCAAACCAGGATGGACAGAGGCCAGTATGCCATCCAGTATCTGTCAGCGTTCCAGAAAACCTCCACTCCAACCAATAACTCTGAGACAGGCATCTTCTCAAAAGATCTATTTTTGGGGGGATGGTAAACTGGCACATCTGGGCAATCCCGAATCTGAAAGTTACGGGCTTCCTTGCAATAAGTAAAAACTACAAATCTTCCCCCCTGCACCCATCATCGCATCACATGCCCCAATCACCATCTGTTCCAGCTTGAGACGTCCTCTCACCCAGGTGCAGAGATAACATGACCTTGATTTAGAAAAAGAATGTTACTATGTCTAACCACATACACTCCAAGAAATACCCCCCTCCCATTTTCCCAACCTCAAGAATTACAGATTACAGATAATCAGAGTTGGAAGGGACCTTGTAGGTCATCTAGTCCAACCCCCCCGCCCAAGAGGGAGACCCTACACCATTTCTGCACGCGCATGCGCCAGGGGACCGAGGCGCGCACAGGGGTCACGTGCACACGGGGGGGTCGCATGCGCATGCAGGGGGCGCATGCACACACTTTTGCCATGCAACGACGAAAAGGTTAGCCATCTCTGACCTACCCTGAAAGTAAGTCCTAGCTTGATTTTTTACACATGCGCCCAATATAACCCCTACCCCCCAAAATAAGCCCTAATTAAGATCCCGCCTACTCCAAGAGTAGATGGGTAAAAATTAAGCTAGGGTTGAGATTGGACGGGGTTGGAGCTGCCTTACTACTTACCT